CCGCCCCTCCCCTCCTTTCCCTTTCCTTTCCCTTTCCCTATCTTTCTTTTTCCATGGCTGGAGGGGGCGGGGCATCTGGATACTTTTATAAATGTAGCACTGTTTTTTAATATATCTTTATTGATTTCAGAGAAGAAGGGAGAGAGAGAGAGAGAGAAATATCAATGATGAGAGAGAATTCATTGATTGGCTGCCTCCTGCACTCCCCCAACTGGGGATCAAGCCTGCAACCTGGGCATGTGCCCTTGACCGGAATCGAATCTGGGACCCTTCAGTCCTCAGTCCGATGCTCTATCTACTGAGCCAAACCAGCTAAGGCGGATTCTAGATATTTCAATTCATGCAGACTTGGTATGACTTCAAAAGTCAAGAGCTAATGGCACCACGCGAAGTTTGAAACCTTACATCCTTTCCCCCACACATCACTGCCAAGTCTTTGACATACTTTGACGGCAAGTCACTTCCCAACTCAGACTCTAAAACACCATCAATTCCCTGGCACGAAGTGAATCAAGTTCAAACGGTCAGACTATTCTGACTTAAAACAAAACCTATCTCCTACAGTCAGAATGTTCCAAGAGGCTGCCCCTTGGGGGAGGTAAAAGGGGAGGGAGAGTTTTACCGTCCACAACTGAGTGGTGTCAGAACACTTACAGCATGGCGATGCCCCAGTGCTTCCCCGCTCTCTCTCCTGCTGCCTGGAAACCAGAGAGGCCAATGAGGGCCACTGTGGGCGTAATGGTCAGGGGCCCGATGTACTTCAGCAGAGCGCCGGGCAGGCCTAGGAAGCCGATGACCACTTCTATCAGTGAGGACATGATGATGGCTCCTTGGATCTGAAATAAGAGCGGGCACAGGCATGAGTAAGCTGCTTATTCGTCACTACTCAATGTCACCCACATCCAAAACTGACAATTTTGTGAAGCATCAAGTCATTATACAACTGGCATGACACGGCTGGAAATTTCCTGGTGTGATGTATGACCAGACTAATGTAAGAATAGCATTATAGGACTGGGCACGATGCAACTTGCCTTTTCCACTGATAAATGAGACAGGCGTAATTTATAATTCCTAAGGGACACTGCAATATAAAGCTCCTTGACTTTAAAAAGCGAGTCTCTGCAGGACACTTAAAAGACAGCACAATTGACAAAAATGCTAAAGGAATGTTTCTATTGTACAGAATAGTTGGGCTGATTCTGAATGAAGGGTGAATGATCTTACAGGTTTTAAAAGATCTGAATAAACTGCCAGCCATTCTCATGTCTAAGGATTCCCACGACCTGTTCTGTTCAAGGGCACTGAATAGACAATTATCTTAATTCTTTCCACAAATACAGGCACAAACACGGAGGCCGGAGTGAATAGTTCTGCTGCCTGCTGACAAGCCTCTGTAGCTCCTTCCAAAGGAGCCACGCCCCTCGGCTGGTTCCGCTGGGGATGCCAGTGGGCAGGCCTGTGGGTGCACCAGAAAGAGGAGGGAGATGAAGGGTGAGAAACAAGACTGTCTGGTTGCACAAAGCATTTCTGCATGCTTTATGGTACAGGGATGCCATCTAAACTGAACGACGTCTTTAATGACAGAGATAGACATGTCAGTAGCTACCGGAGCAAAGGCCTGGATCCCAGGTGCCGGAAACCAGGGGAAGGAAGGCCAATTGCATGAATCTCTTCGTGCAACGGGCCTCTAGTTTTCTAATAATCATCCTTCCTTGAGGTCCTGAAATAACACAAAATTCATTGTCCTTTTATTGTATTATCTATAGCAGCCTTTTCCCAAACCACGTTGTAAGCGACATTCTTCCCAGATGTTTACAGATGTGGCTCTAAAAAAATAAATTAGATGTACGCAGAGCTGGATCCAAAGGCTCTTTCTGGGAGAATCTTCTGCACACTTGTGTTTTAAAAGATTTCAAA